GATACTTCTTCCTCATTTCACAGAAATATCATCGTTACCAGTAGGGATGTGTGATGCAGTTTGGTCCACAGATGAGGATGCCACCTTCTCTGAACCCTCTCATAGTACAGCATTAGTCACTTTTGATGCTCTTTTGGAAAAGATATAAAATAAATATTCAAACTGAACCTTATTATGTGTGTGTATTACTGTGTGTGTGTGTGAGAGAGAAAGAGAATGGAAGGCAAAAGGTGTTTGTGTATGACCACAAACTCAGTCAGTGTTTCCGTGGAAACAGGTGCTGTGAATTATATGTGGTCTGACATGACTTTCCAATAGTCAACTTGGTTTGGCTCGGAATACCACAGACACACACAAAGAAACAAATTCTTACATGCAACATAATTTTGTTGACTTTTTCTGCAAAATGCTGTTTTTATTCTATTCTATTATATAATGAAAACATCAGTAGGTAAGGAAAATATGCTCAAAGGTATGGCCTTCAAACACTCTGCCTCATGTATTATAGATGACAGTTTTTGATGTGCACACTGATGTGTATCAACTCACACGCACACACAGACACACACTTTTACAGACGTCATCAGTTACTAACAGGTGCATGCACACACACACACATTTGTGGCCACACACACCTGTGCATTGAAGTATTCACACCCAAATGTATGACCAAATTTGAATTATGGATTTAGAATTTTATGTACATCTGTTAAAATAAATGTTTTTATTTATGTCTGTTTTTTTTTGTTTTTTTTACAGATTTTAATACTTATTTATTGGAAATGTAACACAAGGGTGTCCTGGTGGTTCACTTAGTTAGATGCATCTGACTGCAGCATCCCCATTGGACTTCTGGCAGAGACCTATGTTGCATGTCTCACCTCCCCCATTGCATGTCCTTCTTTTATCTCCACTGTCTATATCAAATAAATTCAATAAAAGTCAAAGTAATACCTCTAAATACGAGTGTCAATCAGTGCATCAATCTTGAACTGCCTGTTTAGTGGGAGATCATTGTTATTTGTCTGAATTTTCATTTACAGAACTGTTTTTACGTACTTTATGCACATAATATTTGAAAACATCCTGCAAGAACCTTTACAAAATTGACACACTGCAAAGAGTAATTTAAGTCGCTTGTTTATGTTTCTCAGAACATACAATAAGCTGTATAACCCAACACAGACCAAATATAGACAGAATAATACATATAACACAATATACAGTCCCTGTCCCTGAGAGAGAATATAGGAACTTGAAGCTGCATGGATCAACGCTAATGCCACTAGGGGGCAGAAAACATCTTGCATCTTAGACACACAGCCACCATATCAATGGCTTACAGATAAAGTTGGACTGATGCTTTTGCAAACAGCTGTTTCCTTTCACATCCAGCAGACCCAGAGGCACATTAGCATTCACAGTGAGTTTTATGTTCACCATATGAATTTAAGTCCAATATTCACTCTCTTTTCAGCTCTGTTTTGGTCTCCGCCAACTCCTTTATTTGTATAGCAATTTTTAAACAATATTTACAAAATGCTTTACATACACACAAGAAATATCAGCAATTAAGAATAAAGGTAAGAGGGTTGAGATGAGATTCAACCACAATAGGGTGAAGTGGTGATTTTCTGTCATTTCAGCACTATAAGAGATAATGTTTTTGATTCAATGTTTTTTTAGCACCATGCTTTTCCCCCCCAACAGCATGAAGTATATTTTGATTCTCAAAGTCAATCTAATCCTAAAAGCAGCAATTCAACAACTGTAAGATGTGCTGTCTATATTTCGACATGCACCCCCAAAGAGCACCTCAGCAGAGAGCTAAGGGTTGAGTCATTATGAATTCATGGCACTAACTATTCCTCCACCTTTCACCATTCAGTTTTACTTCTCTCTTATATGCAAATATAATCTTCCATTCTGCGTCTGTCTCTGTATCTCTGTGTCAAGTGCTGCTTCATTAATATTTGATGTGACTTAGGATAATGATGCACTTAGTCTCTGTGTCTAGTGTGTGTGTTTTTGTGAGTGTGTTCGTGCAGGTGTGGGTGGATTCGTGTTTGATGGGAGAAAAAGAGTTAGAGGAGGGGTGGGAGATACTCCAGCAGTTCTACCGTTTATTTAAAGTTACAAACTGTGATGTGCTTAATATGGGATACACCACTAGAGGCCAGTAAGCAGCAGAGTAATGGCAGTGTGATTTGTACAAACATGTATCTGGATATATGAGCTTATGTACAACACAGTACATTATTAATGTTCTTGAAGGGTATTTATACAACATATTACAGTCATCTATCATTGATTAGCTGCTTCCATTTCATGGTCCAGATGAATTGCTGCAGAGACACAATGAGGTTTTACTTCATAGCATTCCCATGGTTTCATTTTCATTTCCAAGCCAATATTACGGATGAATGATTTATTAGATGTTGTAAGATGGCTGTTATTCTCAAATCAAACTCCTGCTTCATTAGTTTGAATATAATTCTGTTTGGCTTTGTGAGAGTCCATTAAATGTTTATTGAAGTAGACGCAGCAATGAAAGTAGACACTGTGATGAAAATGTCAGGTTTTAGTAAACACCTTTGTAACAGAAGAACAATATCGGTCATCATAACGGGCCTCATTTCACAGATTTAATGTACCATAGCTTTCTACAAAGAACCCCACAATCTAAAAGGAATGTAAAATGATGAGGGTAAATACTGTTTATTGTTAGAGCACCATGTATCAGCAGGCTGAAACATCTGGATGTGTGTCAGTCTGCAGACAGATAGACAGAATATATTTGTCTGATCTAATTTTACACAGTAGAACGTGGATATTACAGCTAGAACATCATGCTGCAGTGCCTCTGTTTGGGATTCTGCTGTTGAAATGTGATTTAAATAAGACAGGTCTCGTCTCTTAATTTTTGCATTTGGCTCACAGCTATGGATAACTATGGCAGCTTTGGCAAATTTGCCATAACTGTAACAAAATGAAATGCATATTTTATGTAATAATTACAGGTCTTGCTCAATCTGCTTCACTGTTTATACTACAAGAAATATCAGATATTTAGTTAGATGTGTTTTGTTTTGACAGGGTACATCTACAGTAACATGAGGATTTTAATAACTTACACCTACCTCATTTTTCATATTCTTTCAGTGATTTTGGGTCCATTTCCATCTCTTCTACCTTGATATAAAATTTATTTTCAGTCTTTCCTCCATGAATAGATGATGGGATGTATTTTGACAGAATGTTAGCTTGTCATATTTTCAAACAGATCCTGTTTCATTACACTTACAGTATTCCTTGCCAATGCACAAACCTTCATAGAGCTGCACTCTCACCTTGCGCTGTTTCACATGCACATATGAACAAACTATTGCATGCAGTATGCACACACAAAGTAGGTCACCTTGATGTGTGATGCTGAGCTCAGCTGGTGTATCTGTGTGTCTGTGTGTGTGTTTTGTGTCTATGCACCCTTGTGGATTGTGTTTTGTCCTCTTATGTCCCTCTCTGTGTCCTCATGGCCCCCGGAGAGAGTCTAGTCATTAGACAAGCTGTAAGTCACTTAGCCCAAACTCTAATTCAATTGCAAGACCTAAAGTCAGATGCACTTACAGTCATGTTTGCATATGTTACACAAGGCTGAAAGAGCTGAGCATCCATTGATACCATATAGTGATATCATACAGTAAGTGAGAACATGAAGGGTTTGGTGGGGGGGAGATAAATAAGCATGCTGTCATCATGTCATTATGCAGATCCTTGTTTTAATTAACATAAAGAGCATGAGTCCCAACATCTATTACCAGTGATAAACAGAGCACTATGTAGTATTATCTATGGACTACTGATAGGATAAATGAACTCCCATGAACCATCTAAACAAACTGTGGAGTCCTTCAGCCTGAAAATCCTTGAACACCACAGGGAAGGACGAGACAAGGCCAATTCCACACCAGGGTATAGGATTTACGCACAGATAAAGATATGGACACACATACAGGCTCCACTTGCACACAAACTAATCTGCCTCTGTCCACAGGGTCAAATACTGTTTAGTTGAAGTTTTTTTCTAGCTGGTTTCATCTGCCAATGTTGTCCCTATAACCTGCTTTAATGTTGTATCTAATAAAACGATCAGACTGTTTTAATTACAACTTAATCATTCATTAAATGATCATTTAAAGTGCATGCCTCTGGTGACAAAAATGATTATGTTTTCTAACAACACAGTGTCCATTTGGATGAGTCCAGCAGAATAACTTTCTGACTTGTAAGTACTTCATTACCTTGAATGTGTCCTTTGCCCTTATGTCTCATGGGGGCTGCTCTGCTCTGACAGTAGTATGGCACACAGGACAAAATACAAAGAGACACCATGCACATACAGTAAACTGGCCTTACTCTGTTTTCAGTCTGGCTCAGAGAGCAACCAGTCTACATGGTCACAAGATACCACTCAAACCTTTTCTAATTTATGTTTCCCTTATTATTTTAGGCCTGGCATTTAGTTTCCTGACTCCATTAAGTCAAAAAGGGTTTAAAAATTGAACAATGAAAGCCAATCTGCTGAAACTGTCTCTCACAGACACAGCCTGTCTGTGGGTGGTTATTTTGGCTTCCAAATGAAATTAACCGCAAAGTGATGGGCCCCAATTACACACAAACACAAATCTGCATTTGCAGGAAAAATCTTTAGAACCTTATTTTTTACTCATTTGTGGTTAAGTTTCCCCCTCAGTCGGAGAGAGGTGGGGGGAGGGGCGGGGGCAGTGGGAGAAAGGATGGGGGAGGGGTGTTAGTGTTTGGCATGACCTAAGGAAAGGGTCGAGCCAAGCCACAAATGAAAACGCAACCTGATGCATCGGACCAGGCTGCGTTTGGCCCAACCCGAACTGCTACCGTGACAGGAAACGATGATGACGACAGCGCGTAAATCGGCAGCTGGAACCGGGAGGTGCTCCGGTTGCGCGGTTTGAACGGTGAACACAAGCGGTTGCCCGCACGGTACCCGGAGACTCCACATCCAAGGGACCGGAAGGCTTCGGTTACGCGTGCGCTCCCACTTGGACCGGAGAAAGGATGTTGCCCTGTGTCTCTCTCATCCTCTCCACTGACTGATATTTTTTTTTTGTGTGTGTGTGTAGATGTTGTGTGCCATCCTCACATTTTTTCCAGCGCGGTAAACTTTACAGGTAATGAGTCAGATTTGACCAATTAAAAGTGCCAAAAGAGACGGAGAAGTTAATTCACTGAAAATGTCCACGACGCACCTCAGCTCCCCGGCGCCCAACCAGAGCTACCTTTCCACGGCCACCTACGAGAATTCAGACCCCGCGGGGGTGGAGAGGCAAATCCGCCTTCTGCTTTTCGGCTTGTGCGTAACCATCGCCGCTGCAACCTTTGCCGGAGGTGTGTATTCGCTGCTGTCTCTCCTCCGGATGAGGAGAAAAACCTCCCTGTGTCTCATTGTGGCTTCCATGTCGGTGGACGACCTTCTCAGTGTGGTCCCTCTCTCCTTGTTCATGCTCCTACAGTGGGAGACGGATGGAGGTGGAGGGTCGACCAGTCTGTGCACTTTGTCCGGACTTCTGTACGTGTTCCAGGGGGTTTCAAGCAATATGAAGGCTTGCCTTATAGCAGCCTACACTTTTTATGTCACCAAGAGATTTGGAGTGCTCCAATCTGTCCGCCGGCCCCTGAGAGTGATGTGGGCCATTGCCGGTGTGTGGGCGGTCAGTCTGGCCGTCAGTGTGTTACCTTTGTGCGGATGGGGCAGCTTTACGCCGGCTTCTCTCGGGTGTTTCCCAGAGATCGACAGCTTTTACATCCTGCTGCTTTTCTCCTTATATTCCCTGTGTTTCTGCGGCTTGTTGTTTTTCTTTATCCCTCTCACCTACCAGCTGCTGTGCTCCAGAGAGCCCCAGAGGACTTTAATGTACCCAAGCTATTTGGAGATGGCGAGGGGACTGAGTGGCTCCGCTCCCCTCTGTGATCTCCAGTCATTTTCCCGGGACAGCCTGAACAAAAGTTTCGGTGCCTACAACGAGCTGAGCCCAAGTTCATGCGGGACAGAGCTCAGGGAGAAAGAGGACAGCTGTCTGTCCCCAGTGTCTGTCAACGGACAGAGGACAGCTGCTGTCGAGGACACACCAGTGGTGTTCGCACAAAAGCGCTTCTCCATGATCCTGGCGGTTGTCCGAGTTATTTTATGGATGCCAATGATGGTAAGTAGCGTGATGCAAGTAAATGCTACAGTAGTTGAAGCCAAATTAAACAACATAATAACGTTTGGAAAATGCCTTGCCAAACCACTTACTGTAATAGGCTTGAAATTATTAACTTTTTTTTTTTTAGTTATGCTTATTTCCAACTTCTTTTAATGTTGGATTTATTTTAATGCATTTAATTGGAATGATATGCCCTATGGTGCAATGACAGATGTTTATAGAAGATTCCTGAATGCACAATCCAAATACCTGGAACTGTCTCATTATATTGGAAAAACTTCTCCGGTTTCAAGAAAAATAGGACAAATAAGCTATCATCTTATGGGGGCAACAACTGGATGTCAAACAGTCAGTTAGAAACTCATGTGTAGGCCTCTGATGTAGCACAAGATTGCTAAACATTTTAATGCCATACATCGCTAAGTTAAACCACCATTTGTTTTGTATTTTGTGTATAGGCTATGAGCTGTAAGAGTTTATTATGTGAAAATGGGATTTTATCTTTACAGTTTTGAAACAATTTAGACATTGCGTCTTGGTGGTTGAACATACAAATGATAATGATATTTTTTTTTAAAGCAATTGTTTAGTCGCAGCTGGTCCCAACATTCCCTAAAGGCCTTGAGAACAGTAGTTGGCATGTTTTAGTCAACACCTAAAGGGCAGCATTCATTGTGTTGCATTGTAAAATCCTGTACATGATTGCCACACAGTGAGTGCTGCTGTTACAACATTTGTTCTTGTTCAAACAAAAAAAAGAATTTTAGGTGATAAATGCTGTGCAGCCAGCTGAGCTGACAATGAAACAGAATTGACATTCAAAACTTGCAACACTGAAAATGAGCAAAAGCACTGGATATGATTAAAACAGAAAATGCCAAAATATCACTGATCAGAAATACGACAAAACTAACAATTCACAATGAGTTTATCTTTCTGTGGGTGTGATTTTTTCATTTTTTTAGTAAGATACAAACAAGTCTAAACATAGCTTGCCTAAGATAGTTTCTCTGTAGATATTTACCATTGTATCTGTGTTTGCATTAATCATTTTCTAGAAAGCTGTAGAGGTCAATATCAGCACAATGTTGAACCTGTCGCTGGGCCACAATGGCTAATGGCTAGTCATTTCTAATTTTAATGTTTAATATTTCTAATATTTTTAATTTAGTACTCCCATACGCATCATACTGCGTTTCGCCTCAAACTACCAAACTGACATATTTGAATAACAAAAGAAAATGAAAATCAAGAAAGCCCAGTATGGGTAAGGGATCTTTGTAATTTCTTTCCATTCATGTGTCTCCCTCGAGTCTTCCCCCCCACTTCCTCATGCATATTGAATGACTGACTCCTCAGTGAATTAATTTCCCCTTCCCCTTCATTCACAGACTTTGGTGCTGGTGCGCCACGCACTGAATGCACGCAGCTCATCCCTGGAGACTTTGAGCTTCTTTCTCACTCTGCTCGCACCTGCGGTCACTCCGTTATTCGTGCTGTCTGAGCGCTGGATCCACATGCCGTGTGGCTGCTTCATTAACTGCAAACGGGATCCAACACAGGAACCCTCAGGTAAACCATCACTTTATACAAATTTACCAACAATGCACCATCAAGTGTTCTACATAATGAACCCCTGAACAAGTTCCCCAATGCGATATTGGGCATACTTTTGTCTTTTTTGGCATAAGGTGTAATACAGTTACTCTCAATTACTTTGTTCACAGTAATGAAAAGAAGATTTGAGTTCAACCTTTCCTTCCAACAAGGCTATGGAGTGTACAAGTTGTCACATGCCACGATATCTAATAACAGTCTGCCCCTTGAGAAGCCTGCCTATCACAGCCTCTTTAACTGCGACTTCCCTAGCAACCGCCTTGATGCACTAGAAAGTGGCGGGTTCTCCAGCCTGGGCCCCAGTTTTGATTTCAGCACCACCTGCCCTGTGGACAGTTCCTCTCATGCAGACCTTATGTTGGAAGTGGTGGCCGGTGGAGGAGAGGCGCTGGCTGATGGTCCTTCTCTCCCTCATGAGAACCACGGAGATGATGGTGACTTCCGCTGCGTACCCTCACTGCCCTCTCATCACCGGGAGCAGGGCCACAATCTCACTGACACATCGTCTGTGTTCGAGGGGACAGAGAGGAGGCTGTCGCATGAGGAGTGTCGGAAGATCGAGCTGACAGACTGGGAGTGGTGCAGGAGCAAATCAGAGAGGACACCCAGACAGGTACACCACTGTCCAGAGTAGTCCATTTATTAGCCTGATCTTGAAACATCAAATTGAGTCATTTGTATCTGTCATTCTGTGGTTTATGGCTGGCATTAATTGATTTTCCACACTCACACTCTGTTGCGTAACTAGTCAAACAACTGCTGCATTTGCACGCAACATATGGTGATATACCGTAGAGATGATCGTTTAGCAGTGATTAATGTCTCAGGCTCATAAAATGGATGGATTTTCAATCTCCCTTTCTGTGTTTACATATTGTTTTCGAAACGGAAATTAACTGCGTTCTTATTGCAGTGCACCTGTACCGAGATACAGAGACACAGCTGGTAGACTAGGATGCAGTCTTTACATAACCAGGCTTGAAAGTGTGTGCATATTTGTGCATTTTATGACTGTCTGAGTGACTTTCTGTTTGTGTCTTTTTTTCCACATCCGTCTATCTCAAGTTGATAGACTGGGAGCTGTGCATGTGATTTAGATAAAATGGTTAAAATCCCCCTCTCCTCTACTCTCTCTGCATATATTTATTTGCGCTAAGCCTGGATGGATTCTGATTAATAGAGCAATTGATCAAGATACTATCAGCAGCATATCATTTAAGTAACAAATGTCATATTCGTTCACTGCTGCTACCCAGACCCTCTAAAATCAGAGCAGCTCTCAAGGCTCAGCTCCATTCATTGATTTAGTTTTGTGTTTTTTTTGGTGTTTTAAAGGCAGTGTTTAAAGTTTCAAGACCAGTTTTAATGAGATTTATCCACTGAAGGTTAGCTGCTGTATGTGTGCTGAATGTTTTGGTTGTAGATAGCTGTGATTTGGTATTCAGCAAAATCCATTTTAAATCATAGTTTTAGTTCAAGTTCAATCATAGACATACCGTTTCTACAGTGCAGCATTGTCTGTCTGCCAAGATCAGAAGCTCTGCTTTTATTGTTTGCTCAGAAACTCGATAGTTTCTCTATCCAGTAGATGCAAAGTCAAAGAGCACTAAACAATGCAGCTCAAGACAGTTTGCTACAGGCACATAAACCACTGTCCACTAATCCATTTTTAATCCATTTCTTTCTTTGTTGTTGACATCCTGTGCTCTTGTAATACCAGAAGCTTAATTCTGTCAGTGTTTTGTTGGACCCAATTGAAGGACAAAACAGTAAAGGCTTAATGATTAATGTATCCCCTGCCTTAGAGATACCAGGCACAGATGAGAGGACAGCCTCAGCCAGAGGCATCACCTTTGAAACTGACAGCACAGTAAATGTGACTTTTAGAGCGATAACACCATGAGCTCGTTTTAAAACTCAAAACTGAGACATTAACAGATGCAGAAGCATGTGTGCATACATGTGCGCGAACACCCAAGCACATGCACACACTTTATCTCTTTCTCTCTTCCTCTCTGTCTCTGCTCTACTTATGAGTCTGAAATGTTTTGGTTTGAAAATCACCAGAGGGTGGAAAATCCATGGAGCATGCATCTACAGCTTGGCTTTGGCACTCACTTTGCATCATGTATAAGTCTGAGATGCTCACTGTTGGCTTGTGTATATGTGTGTGTGTGTGTGTCCTACTTCTCAGTTTCTTAGTAGCAAACTCTGTATATTATGCTTCCTTAGGCTCTATTCATTGATTGGGGTCAGTATATAAAAGTATACAAAGTACAATAACAGTATGTATGTGCAGTCACACGCAAACAAATAGCAAAGTCAAAAATAAGCTACACAAAGCCAGCCACTTTCCCCCTCCCAAACACAGTAAGATATAAAGATCAAAATTAGCTAATATACATACACATATGTATAGTACATACTGTATATACACACAAAGCCAAACAACAGAAGAAAGCCAAGCCTATAATAATTTGTGATTAATAGCATTTCCTGGCTGTGTTTTGTTCCTCGTTAGCAGGCTAGATGTCATTACCCAGTGTCTGTCCTCCTTACTGTCAGCCCTTCTGGCCTTCAACATCCACAGGGAGCGGTGGAATTAGCGCTTAAAGACATCTTTACCCTCTCTGTGACTTTATACTCTCTGTTAGCAAGCACAGAGCTGGAGGCGAGTTCACAAGCCTTCTCCCTGAGGGGAAATTGAGATCTAATGTGCATTCAGATGTAGGGAACTAAAACACGTTCACCCTCCTGAGAAACACAGCCGACACTGTAAATAAATGTTGTTCTTACCAATATGGCTACCAGATGGAGAATGAAAAATCAATTGATTTTGAATGGACAGGAAAACAACAACTAGAATCAATATACTGCAAACATGTCAGGACTTATAGGCATCCATAACAGATGCCTGACAGTGCTGTTGCTTATATAAAGTAGGTGGTATATGATATGTTGACACAAATTTAGCATGTTCACCATCTTTGTTTAGTTAGGCTGCTAGCATTTGGTAATTCGCACTGAACATAAAGTATAGCTGAGGCTGACAGAAATGTCATCAGTTTTGCAGGTATACAAATCAGTAGGATTCATCCTTTGGAGAACACATATAACATTTCATGGCAGTGCAATGCAAACTGTGTTGAGATATTGTGGTCTGGACCAAAGTAGTCAACCGGCTCACCGACATTGCTATTTATAGAGCCATGACGCCAAAGTACTGTTCTAAAAGCAATGCACAATGCAGATGTTTGCATTTATGTCATACAGGTTTATATACTGTACATCAAAATCATTTAGTGACACTGCAAGTAGGGTGATATGGCCTCAAAATATTTTTGTTTCTTAAAAACAAACTACAAATGACACCATATATTTGGGAATGTGAAATGCCACATTATCTAATGTCTTAACAATGGTGGCCTTCTTCTCACATGGGGTATTATGGGAAAATTATTCTACATATTCTTTGTAGATAAGTACTTGAGGAGTTTGCTTATTTTAAGTCATAAGCTGTATA